CTGCAAGGCTTCCCTGGGCAGCAGCTCTGCACTGTGGCACTTTCTCTTCTCCAGCCTCCTAGTGTCTTCCCTCCACTGCAGAACTCTTGCAGCCCAAATGGATCCTTCCAAGCTGTTTTTTGTTTTTGTTTTCATCTTCCTCCTTTGAGTATTTCCACCGCTAAAATGTCCTGTGGCCTGTACTTTTCCACAGTTAAAAAAATAAGAAAGAAAAACCATTTCATAAATCAGTTTACAGTTTATACATGTTTATAAGAAAGACAGTTTGGGTTCAATTCCCAAGTGACCAGGGAACGGGGATGTAGCCGGGATTCCCTTTGGATCCCGCTTGTCAACCAAGTGCCCCCTACTCTTCAGCTGCAGGTGTTAGAGCTAATGGTTCACACCTGCAGCCTTTCCTGGGGACTGGGAAGGTTGACTGGAGCCCTCTGACAAGAGGTGCCCGAGAGTTACCACTCCCCTCCTGTTCCCTCCCCACCTCTTCCCTCCCCTCAATACCCACAGCTGAGGTCTGAGTGGGGGAAGAAGAAAAAGCCCCCAACTCCCTTGTTTCCGGGCAGATCAGCCTTGTGTTATTTATGCTCCGGGGCTCCCCAGGAATCAGGTGGTAGCTAGACCTCCTCAAAAGTCACATCCTTTCTCAGTCTCTTCCCTTTTCCTGTCCTTCCCTCACCCTCATTCTTGTTTCTCTTAAGACCACATTCTCAACACATCACTTTCCCCGAAGCCCCGTCTCAGACCCTGCTTCCACGAAACCTGGTCCAAGCAGGGTTATGCCCCGCTACCCCGCCACAGCTGGAGACATGAGATGGATTTACTAGTATATTTCCTTTTATCACCCTTTTAATTTTTCCTAAAATATCTATGTTAAAACTTTATTTTCAATTAATTAATTAATTTATTTTGAGTCAGGGTCTCACTCTGTTGCGCAGACTGGAGTGCGGTGGCACCATCCCGGGTCACCACAGCCTCGACATCCTGGGCTCAGGCGATCCTTCTGCCTCAGCCCTTCGAAGTAGCTGGGGCTACGGGCTGCACCCCTATTCCTGGTTAATTTTTTTTTTTTTTGTAGAGACGAAGTCTCACTTTGTTGCTCAGGCTGGCCTTGAACTTCTGGGCTCAAGCAATCCTCCTACCTCAGCCTCCTTAAGTACTGACTGGGCTTATAGGCATAAGCCACTGTGCCTGGCCAAATCTTTATTTTTATTATAAAAGTGATACATGCTATGGCTAGAATTACAAGTCATGTCAAAGGGTAAAAGTAAAATACAAAGATTTGAGGACTTACCCCAACTCCTAGTCCCTGTCACCAAAACAGTACCCGTTTTTTTTTTTAGTAACCTTCCAGGACATGCTTATGTATATTTAAGCATAACTATGTGTTCTTTTTACATAAATGATGTTAATATTCATCTTACTCGGCAACCTGCTTTTTTCTGCTTCCTGGATCATGATGCCTTTCCGTGATCAGTGCAGAGATCTGCCTCAAGCGTGACCTGCGTATTCATGAGAATCATTGAAAGAGGTACATTCTTTGTAACTGGCCTGGTCCTGGTCCATCGCTTCAGTAAGTCAAAATGGGAAAATCAGTAACGTAAAATGTTATTTTGCCACATGAACCACTGAGAGCTCAGTGTGAGAAAATTCTTGTCATCCCTCCTTCCCTGTCTAAGTGAGCCCCTGACTAAATTAGAACTCCTGAGGAAGTTAGTTGCCCAGCCTTTCAGACTAAGGCATGGGACTCACCTGAGGGGGACTCATCTGTCCGAAACAATGGACTAAGCTCCTGGGAGGAGAGGGGTGGATTAGGCTCTGTATTATTCTTTATAGTCCCGAGGAATGTGAAAATCAACACAATCACATGAGGCTGGGCACAGTGGCTCATGCCTGTAACCCCAGCAATTTAGGAGACTAAGTCAGGAGGCTTGCTTGAGGCCAGGAGTTCAAGACTAGCATGTACAATATGGCAAGACTGGTCTCTATTTTAAAAAATAAATTTAAAAATAATAAAATTTAAAAAAATCACATCTACAAAGGCATTAAAAAAATTCCCCAAACAAAAACAAGCCAACCACACACTAAGGCTCAAACTATCTTTTCAATATCACGTGGGTGTGTGAGTGTGTCTGTCTGCCTAAGATATTGTAGGTGACAAAAAACAAGGTGGAGGCAACACCCAAATATCACAGAAATTATGAAATGTATTTTTATACCAAAAAATAACAATGTACCACAATTAGGTACCATCTCATCAAAATGAAAAAAGAAGAACAACCCCAGAAAACGTGGGAGATGAGAGTTCTTGGGCGATGTTGGTGCAAATGTAAAATGGTGCACCTGCTTCAGTAAACAGTGTGGAGACTCCTGAAAAAGTGAGAAATAGAATTGCCATAGAATCCAGCAATTCCACTTCTGGGTATATGTACAAAAGGATTGAATGCAGGGTCTTGAAGAGATATTTGCACGCCTTTGCTTATAATAGTATCATCCACAAGAGCCAAGAGAATGAAGCAATCCAAGTGTCCATCGATGGATAAATGGATAAACAAAATGTTGTGTATACATGTGATGGAATATTACTCAGCCCTAGAAAGGAAGGAAATTCTGCAATGTGCTACAACAGCAGTCTCCAACCTTTTTGGCATCAAGGACAGGTTTCCTGGAAGATAATTTTTACACAAACGTGGGTTGGGGGGAATCACCAGGAATTAAATTCTCATAAGGAGTGCACAACCTAGATTCCTCGCATGTGCCGTTCACAGTAGGGTTCGGGCGCCTGTGAGGATCTAACGTTGCTGCTGATTTGATAGGAGATGGAGCTTCACTTTTACATTGCTCACCTTCTGCTGTGTGGCCCGGTTCCTAACAGGTCACGGACCGGTATTGGTCCATGGCTTGGTAGTTGGGGACCCTGTGCTACAGTGTGGGGGACATTATGCTAACTGAACTAAGACACAAAAAGATCAATGCTGTAAGATTCCACTTACATGAGGTACTGAGAGTAGTCAAGTTTATGGAGACAGAAAGTAGAATGGTGGTTGTCAGGGGTTGGGGAACAGGGGAATGGCGAATTAGTGTTTAATGGGTGCAGAGTTCAGTTTGGTAAGATGAAAAAGGTCTGGAGATGGATGGTGGTGATGGTTACACAGTCATGTAAACGTACTTAGTACTGAACTGCACACTTAAAAATGGTAAATTTTGCCGGGCTCAGTGGCTCAGCCTGTAATCCCATGCCTTTGGGAGGCTGAGGTGAGTGGACTGCCTGAGCCCGTGGGGTCG